CTGTACAACAGGCAACAAAATATCAAACATTAGTACAATGGACTGACTTTTCTTAAATATAAATATGGTATATCGGCATTAATATGTACATATTGTGTTATACTTTAAAGAACAGCAATTACTAGAAAGCATACTATACATGATAATCAAAAGTATGTGCCATGCCGATTAGCACAGCCCATATTGCTCAACCAGAACCATCTGTTTTCCATGTTCTTAATAAGCCGGACCATAACGTAGTTAGTACCACGTTGTCTATCATTGAAATATTTTCTTCTTCTCTGTCTACATGTTTCCAGTACCATTACTTTTTCCAGTGTTCCCAGCATTCTGTCAACTCTGCATTCATAAAAAAGACAAAATGTGACGATCGTCTTGACCTGAAAAGATAATATTTTACCTTCAGAATTTGTTTACTGTTGGGTTTGGATGAAAGGAGAAACATAACTGTACATGAATAAATTAGAAGAAGAAGAGGACCGAAATTAGTCGTACAATTCATTAGAGAACAGCAGATAAAACGGTATAGTCATTTTACAAAACGTCCCTGGTACCAGCAGACAATGTGTGCCAAGCTGGCAACATATAGTTAATGATCACAGAACCCAAAGATGGGATTGGAAAACGGGGTGGGGGTGGAAGAGCAGCTGCAAGAATAATCTCTGAGAACTGAATACCACTAACGCAGTTAACTTGAAAAGTGAATAGAATTCTTTGCATTCTACGAAATAAAATCTGTGTGTGGTCTTCAGTTCTTTTCTAAACGTGTTTTTCGGAATAAATCCTTTACATGCATTCAGTAGTAGAACATATTTAACAAGTAAAGTAACTCAATGTTCTTTTTCTACGCCTTATGGCGTATTGGGAATTATGGGCTAGACCTATATTTTTATAGACCAATCAGCACTTGGTGGGTGATGTGGTTAGCATCAAGCCGGCCGCCTTTACTTCCCAGGACTGCACCTGGTACCCACTCAAAGCTGGGTCGACCTGGGAGTCAAGGTCTTTTTAATAAAAAGTCCGGCTCCGTCAGGACGTGAACCCACGACCTTCCGATCCCCAGGCGGGAGTCTAGCCGCCAAAGCCACGGCAATTCCCAACAAGTAAATTAAATATACCCCCCCCCCCCCTTTCCACCTTTTTTCCCCTCTGAAACCTTAGGACGTACCCAACATGTTGTTAGCTATCACACATGGCTACAGAAGAAGACGATGTGGTATAAAACTCAGGTTGGCTGTATTCTCACAAGTCTTATACAGGTGCTATGGTCGTTTGTTGAAGCTAAAACATTGATGTGCATCCGTCAGTCCGTTCTGGAGGCAGCGGATTGTGCGGATGACACCTTCTATGGTTCAGGAGACCAAACCAGTGCGCTCTGGGGACAGCCCTGATGAAGACAGGGTAATAAACACGCCGTGGTCATCCACTGCACATGGACTCATTTCCCTGCGTCTTTGGCTGTCATGATGAAAACAGATGAAAGAGTGAGGTTAACTAATCGCGCAATCCATCCTCACTATAATCGAACTTTTTTTTTTTAAACGTAATTCACACTTTCTGTCAGGTGACCATAACAGCAGCAAAAATTCATAAAAACAAACAAAAACAAATCTCGAATGTTCCTGAACTGGACCCCAAACTGATGTGGCCCAAAGTCGCTGTCCATGTCCACACTGTGTGAGGTCATTCTGAGTCAGGATTGACCTTATCAGTCACCTAGGTACTCATAAATCCAACTCTGCTTAGCGAATGAAGGAAATTGTCTACATCAGTTGTGATGGCTAAACGAGACATCAAACAGAACCGTAATCCAACAAATTCTAAAACTGGCTTCGACTTCCACCAAAACCCACGCACCCTCCACCCCCCTCCCCTCCCCCCCCCCCCCTTTCCCGATTATGGAAAAGTTAGACATAAGATTTAGGCAAACGCCATACACTTTTTTTGCGGGGTGGGGGGGGGGTGGGAAGGTAAAACATATGATATGATAAACATGTGTGTTGCTACTCAGCTAATAATCCTAACATTACTTGTTGTCTCCACTTTCTCAATACACTGGTTAACAATTACTTTGGAAAATACAGCAGTAAAAGTATACTTTGTTAATTTGTATACTAATAAGTTAGAGCTGTGTGAAAATATGCGCACTGCCTTTAAATGTATATATATATATATATATATATATATATATATATATATATATATATATATATATATATATATAGTTGTATAAATGAAGCGCCTAGAGCTTTAATTTAGTAGCTAATTCTCACCCCCCCCCCTCCATCCTTCTCCCTCTCTCTCTCTCTCTCTCTCTCTCTCTCTCTCTCTCTCTCTCTCTCACACACACACACATAGAGTCCACTTAATCACATCTTTAGTTCTTAATGTATCTTTATAACGTATAACGGATAAGTTAGTGTCTAAGTTTTCCCTAATGTAATGTCAACAAATTCATTGCATTCGCCGCATCTGTTAAACTCTACAGTTCTTTTCTCACGTATCTAATGCATTCTCGTGATAATAACTGCATTTACCGTAATTTTTTTTTAACCGTCTCCTCGTTGGAGGTTCGCAATAGGCACCTACTGCTGTATCTAGGAATATTAAATGTAATAAACAAACAGGCAATGTATTGATTAGCACTCATAGAAAGAAGTAGAAAGATAGAATATTTATTTATGTGTCTATGAATAGTACGCGATAAGACTTCAATAACGTCCACCAAGCGACTCTCATATTACTGTCTATATACCTTCTGCAGAGTGTTTATAGATATTTTGTAACTGGTGGAATACATGGTTGGTTGTGGATGGTACTGCTAATTTCCGAATCACAACAGCACTTTAACAAAGACACACTGAACGTGGATCTATATTGCAAATGAGAAGCACAGTTCTGTACGTTACAGGACCATTATTCATTTCTGTATAGATCAGCGGTTCTAAATCTGTGGGTCGCGACCCTTTTGTGGGTCGAACGACTCTTTCACATGGGTCGCCTAGGACCATCGAAAACACATATTCACAGAAGTTATGAAGTAGCAACGAAAATAATTGTATTTATAGTTGGGGGTCACCACAGCATGAGGAACTTATTAAAGGGTCGCGGCATTAGAAAGTTTGAGAGCCACTGGTTAAGATACTGCTGCTGCTGATCTACCTACATTCTGGAGAGGGCTGCTAGCAGACATAAGGTACACATGGCTAACCATCTGCACTTTCGTTTACTTACTGCGCTAATATGATAAACATCGGTGGTCAGGTCTAAGTCTAAATAGTGTGATTATGTTCGAGCTGCACACTTAAAGTGTTTTGATCATTTGTTAATGCACCATCCGAAATGAGTGTTAGATATCACGTACCGGTTACACACCTTTGACATTCTGAACATTCCATTTTTATTTCATGTCATTTTCCATCCACTCACTGCTGGTAATCTGAACATTGTAGGTATTTTAGTTGTCATATGTGGACTACACACGGCTGACATTCGGAACATTCCAAATATGCTTCATGTCATCTTCCAGCTACCCTCTATGGCCTTCTGAACATGATATATATATCAGACAACACAAACGAACTACATACTGGTGGTTTGTTTAACACTATATGTGTGTCAGATGTTATGTAGGGCTACATATTGCTAGCTTCGTGAACATTCTAAGCGTGTTACGTGTATGTAAGAGCTTCACAGTGCTGGCCCTCTGAACATTCAATCCCATATGTTAGATGTCATTTTCGGGCTACTCAATACTTTACGAAATAGCTGCACAATGTGCGTCTCCTTAACGATCATTCCAACTAATGTCATCATTAGTATACAACATATTAATCTTAAAAATGATCTCAATCATGATGGCTTAATGAATGAATTATCAACACAAACTAGATCTCACGAATACGCTACGAAATTCCTATACCAAGAAGGATCGAGCACACAGTCTCGTAGGTGGTCTTTATAATATTAACGACCTGAAGGATCTGGCCAACGTTGTCCTTTCAAATGTTCGCTGAGCTCGTGGTCTCGTGATTATACCGTACAGAGAACAGATGCCTAGACAGGACACCACCACTCCAAATAGTGGGCCCACAAGTGAATAACCTACCTTTTTGATCTAATTACATTGTTCTTGTACGGGAACGTTTTACCGCTTCTGCTTGTGTACTAAATTTGAAACAAATATGTTATCCCCATGTGTGAGAAGAGGGTTGGTTGGTGGCAAGCACACCCACCCCTTGAGAAGCATGATGTAAAAGATGACTGGATTAGGAGTTTGCTCAAATCCGGCGTGGTGGAGTGAATGACGCAGATAATGCAGCCTAGCTGTAAACTACAACAGAATGTGCCAGACGTCCTTTTTAAGTGAGAATGCAGTCAGATAAACATAGTTTCTTCTAGTAGTGAACTGGGATCCTGTTGAAGTAAATCGGACCTGAAGCCCTATCACAATTCAAGCAGCTGATTTATCACATAGGCCTAGGATAAAACTCGATAGTGACTTCAACATTGTCTATTGTGATGGTATTACATTTTCTAGACAACACGCGGCAGGTCTATTCAGATGTATATCTGTTGTCACTCATTGCATGATACTGAATTGGAATCCGAAAACCATAAGTATTAGATTATATTATTTTGAATAAAGCAGCTGTTTGGTTTATCGCCAAAACCTAAAATAAAACTCGATAGTGTCATCAACAATACATAAAATGACGATATTACATTTTCCATGTGACAGAATCATTTATGTGTAAATCAGTTGTTACTGATTACATGATACTAGACGGCAATCCCAAATTAGAAAGTATTTGACTATATTATTGTAAAAATTTTAAACTATATTCATTGTTACAAGACATTTAATTTGAGCAATAACCAATAACGGTTTTGTGAATTTTAGCAGCTGCACATCGTAAGGCCCACGCTTCTGAAGACCGCTCAGAAGAACTCAGACAGCCCACTTTGAGGTTATAGACAAGTGTATAGACTGTAATAGGTCACGTAGCCGTCTCGTCTACAAAAGTCTCCTTGCTATGGTCTAAATTTTTTATTTTCTCCGGTTCTCCGTTAAGATGTTGTGATTCTACATGATTCTCTGATGCGCTGTTGTTAGAGACCACATTGAGTCGTATTTTTTCTGAGTCCGTATCGTAGTATGCCTTTATATCTTTCATCATCAAGGCGTTGTCGTTTCCGTTCTTCATCGGCGATCTGTTGGCAATAACTGAAGGTTGTTGCACCTCTACGTTGGTATACTGTGTGTAGCTGTTCGCATAGCTGTCGCTACCTCGACCAAAGAAGAGGCAAGGCAGCACCTGTCGAAATTCCTTCTTGAAGTTATCGTTCATCCACGCGTAGAGAAATGGGTTGTAGATAGTTGAGCTCATAGCGATGACATGCGCCACAAAGAATATCAGGGTAAAGTAGTACCAGCCTTCCATTGACTTGTCAGCGTCTCTCCAAAGATGAACCATATTCAGAGGCATCCAGCACAACACGAAAATGACAACCTGTAGATCAGACGAAAGCAAACACAATTATTACTTGCAGATAGTAATTTTTAACAAACCGAAAATTACAAAAATTTTAATAATAAAACCTGACAAAACAATATTGTTTCGTGTGCTTTACAGACATTGTGAACCAGCCCAACCATTTATTGGCAGCTTATGGTTTCACTGACAGCCGGCGTAATGCTGACTACATTACCCACCTAGTGCTGATTGGTTTGTAACAATATGGGTGCTCTTCCTGTATGTCCGATGCACCTAAATTTATTTTTACTTTTATTTTTTATGCTTCCACAAATGTTACATGTAGTTAGAAATTTTAAATAACCACAAATTAACAACATTAAGACAAACAGTCCTACACAAAATGTTACTTTTGCAAACCAGTTCTAGTATTTATTGGCTGTTATAGTTTCACTAAGAACTTTTGGGTTCAGTAGCTAGCCATAAGCTCACTGAATGTTCGACTCTCCATACCAGTGCCCAGATGAACACATATACCATTCTAATGAGTTATCCATTATGTCTGTAAAAATGGCAGACTATGGCTAGTACGACTGTCTGCCTACCGGCCCTGTAACAAAGTGTTCGGATCCCTATCGACTCGAAGCTTTTATGTATAAATTGTGATCTGGTCTATCAAATCAAATTAGAGCAAATTCAGCACAGGGAACTGCATGTAGTAAAAGCTTCAGGCCCAGTCGTAACCACCATATCCAAGTTCTTCTTCTTTCTTTTATCATATGCAGTTTGGACTGGCTGCATTCTTACTGGATGGCTGACCAATGTCATTCTTTGTCTTGTATGGTCTTTTTGGTCTTATTCCAGCTTTCTCTTTAATGCGGGTATTCGTAACTCTGTCTCTTCTTGTGTTGTTAGTGATTTTACAAAGACGGTGCATTTCAAGTCTAGTTGTTTTCACTTCTAGCGTCCTATTTAGTGTCCAAGTTTCACAGTGATACTACAAAGTAGGCATAAAGATGCCAATAATCATTTGCTGTTTTGATGGAATGGAAAGGAAGACATTTAGGTGTCTAAGCAGTGGGGCTAACTGGTAGGTTACAGCATTTGTCTTCTATACTCTGGCTTCTTTCTCTCTTTCAAGTCTGCCATCCTTCGTAGATTTGAATTCCCGTACCTGTTTGATTATAGTACCTTTGACAGGAACGTTCAAATTATTATGTTTCCTCGAAATATCATTACCTCAGTTTTCGTGCTATTTATTCTCAAATTATACTTTGTGCAGACTTCATGCAAGGAGTCATTAAATTAGTTGCGTATCCTTTACATGACGTTGCAGAACCAACCCCAGCACTTTCTGGCTGTTGTGGTTTTTCTAGGCAAATTTATGTCCAGTAGTTTGCCCTTCCTCCTGGACGGTCGGCTTTCGGTACCACGGTCGAAACAATCGCAAGACAAACCGCCCGCAGCAGGGATCGAACCCGGCACCCCGACATTACGAAGCGCGATCCCGAAGCCTAAGCCACGGCCGACACAAGGAGGCAATATGGGTTGAAATTCTGTTTTTGGTTGGTTATCATGCATCCCCTTGTGGGACGCAATTTTTCGTTATTTTAAATCCCACCCTGGCTCTTACCAGGGACCGCAATATAGCCCGGCCATAAATATGGTCTAATGGCTGAACGCGGTTTCCGGGACCTCTCCACGGGTGATACTTATCCACATGATGGGATATTGTGTCATCGAGTGTTTATCGTTTGCGTGATGTCTTAGTTGGGTAAAATGAACTACTAATACTAACTAATCCTGGTGGTATATTAAGGATTAATCGTCGTCAAAAAGAAATTCATTGATTTCTTCAGTGTCCCTGCCTCCTTTTCACTTCTATAAATGTAAGTAACGAATAGCAATAGTGAGAGGACACATCTCTGACACTTAACGGGATGCGAAACCAATCTGTTATTCCCTCTGTTGTTCTTACCGTGCACTGACTATCATGATAAAAGACATGATCTAAATTACCATAATCTCCTAGAAATTTGCATAGTTTGTTTGTTTTCATGGTTTCAAATTGACTCGATCGAATTTATTTTCTTGATTTATAGATATAAGGTGTTGACTTTATTGATTTCAATAGACTTCTTACATATCTGCTTCAAATATAATAATAGGTTTGTAAAGCAATTTCCCTTATCAGTCGAGCGAAATAGCTATACAAACGCATTGTTTTATTTGAAGCCTCCTGGTGGGACGCAATTTTTCGTTATTTTGAAGCCCTACCCCAGCTCTAGTCTGGGGCCCTAATATAACCTGACAGTTGAACCAGGTTTTCGGCACCTCTCCACGGGTGATCCTCATCAGCATGGTGGCACTTTATGTCACCGGGTGTTTATCGCTAGTGCGATGTCCTGGTGGGATAAAATTTACTTACTTAATCCGTCGAGCAACTTTTAAGGTATACAAAAAGAGTGAAAGCTCCAAGTACTTTTTGTTTTAGTTTCCGGCAGTATGAAATCATCATCAGGTGCCTTGCCGACTGGCGTGGGCGATCATGCCTCTCTACAATCTGCGATCTCCTGCAGCATGTACCAGTTCGTGTGCCGACACACCTCCATGCCATCCAACAAGACTGTCAAGAATCTTACCTCTTTGTCTTCCTCTATCCCTCCTTCCACAGATCTTTCCAGTGGTCCCAACATGTTCTATTTTCCCCCTTTTCATAACATGGCCGAAAACTGATGACTGTCTCCGTCTAATGTCTGTGATAAGTTGTCTTTGGGCTCCCCCCTCTTTCAAAACCTCTTGGTTGCTCTTTTTGGCTGTCCAAGTTATTCTAAGCATTCTTCTGTAAAACCGCATCTCTGAGGCCTCAAGAAACTGTTTCGCCTGCCTACCGAGTGTCCAGGACTCACAGCCATATGTTAAGTTGGATGTATGTAGAAAGCAAGAATTCTCTTTCCAACCCTCAACGACAAAGATAATTGCACAAGATGCTCTTCATTTTATAAAATGCAGTTTTTGCCTGTCCTCTTCTGTTTCTCATCTCAGTTATGCATCTTCCATTTGATGTTATCGATGTGTGCAGATACTTTAATTTCTATACTTGTCACCAAATAACACCATCGACTTTTAGGAATAATTCGTTTCTTTGATACCACCATTACTTCTGTCTTCCCATTATTTAAACTGAGGCCCATTCATCCACTTTCTAACAGAACAATGTCTATCTGGTATGCAGTATCAGTACATTTTTGTTTTCAGACATCAGTTTTTGTTTGTTTAGCGCTAATGTATTAGACACGTTTATGATGAATGCCAGTACCATTGTTTTAGACATTTTTGTGGTGAATACTGGCATCTTTGTTGTTCTTAAGAAAAAAAAATCATCCTTATAAGCAGCTTAATATCTAACATGCCATCCATCAGGCTTTAAAAGTTAAACGCAAGAAATCACTTCACTTTTCTGAAATGTCTAGTATTTCTTCTTCTTCTTCTTCTTCTTCATTCTTCTTCTTCTTCTGTGTTCGACATCAGTCATGCTAAACATTGAGTTCCGTCTGGGTCACAAATAGGATTGTGCGTTTAAGGTCGCCACCGGTCCCCCATAGCTTCTCTTTCAACGTGGCTCCCTTGGGCCAGATCCACAGTCTTTGCTGGGAGAGGTAAGGGCAGTGCTGTAGTAAGATATTAATAAAGGAAATTTCTAAAATAGATGAATCAGCGCAATAGTCTTTAAATAGTAATGGAATCTGACAGATGATGACCATCAGGGAGAGATAATGAGGAGGGAGGAAGGGATGTAGAGAGCAACGAGGAACCGGACAAAGTGAAAAAGGATAGAAACAGAGGAGACACGATAGAGACTCAAAGAGAGGCAAGAGGGGTACAGGTGTTCTTGATAAAGAAAAAAGATATAGAGAAAATATAGAGAAAGACAAAGACAGAGAAATAGGGAGTTAGACAAAGAAGGGAGAGAAAAGGGAGAAGGGGCAGAGAAAAAATAGCAAGACATTTAAAAAAAAAAAAAAAAAAGAGAGGTATAGCAAGGACAAAAAGGAGTAAAGAAGAATTGGAGACGACATAATCATTTTTTAAAAACTTAAGCAGAGAACTAAACAAACCACAGTGTACTGCAGTGAATCAAAAGGTGAGGAAATTACACTGTCGTTGGATAGGACATCATCATCATGTGTCCTGCCAGCTGGCGTAGGCGCTCATGCGTTTCCACAGATCACGATCCCTGATTGCCTGTAACAGCTTTCTTGATAATTTCACCCCAATGCCCTTGTTTCATCCCATCCAGTATCATCTCTCTTGGTCCACCTCGACCCCTTTTCCCACTGATATTTCCAGTTGTCACTATATTCACCAAAGTCTCTCTTTGAATAGGACATAAATTTGTAACATCTGATTTACTCAATTATCCTCGCACGGAACCCAATAATCAAACGAATAGAAAAAGATTCGAATTGATAAACATACATACACACAGCCACACACGCGTGTAGAAATGAACATAATGAAGTGAATGTAGATGAGGAAGTCGTTTGGTAAGCTATACGTTAAAGCATAACATAGATGTTTTGGTTTACTTTGATTGTGGGTCTATCCTCCAAAAGGGTATAACAGGCAGCAAAAACCGCAGAAGAAGACAAATAAGAAGACGTAGTGGTAGTTTTATCTCTATTAGTATTAGTAGTAGCAATGGTGGTGGTGGTGGTGGTGGTAGTAGTAGTAGTAGTAGTAGTAGTAGTAGTAGTAGTAGTAGTAGTAGTAGTAGTAGTAGTAGTAGTAGTAGTAGTAGCAGTAGTAGTAGTAGTAGTAGTAGTAGTAGTAGTAGCAGCAACAGCAGCAGTAGTAGTAGTGGTAGCAGTAGTCGTAGTTGTTATAGAAGATGGAGGAGGACGATAAGAAGAAACAGAACAAGAAGAACAAAAAGAAGAAGAAGAAGAAGAATAGGATTAAGATAATTACTTGTTTGCCGTCTGTCGCATTTTTTAAAAGATTTGTCAAGGATATTTCCCTGCCCACGTAAGGAA